GAGCGGCTGCTGCGCGACGTGGACACTCTCCGTGGCGCTGGCGCAGCAAAGTCGGCCGCGGAGGCCACAGGCTGCAGCGACAACTGCAACCAGACGTGACTGCAGCAAGGGGGACGCTGCCTGGAGTTCCCCCCCCGCCGCCGTTGGCGGCTCTGCCTGGACATCGTGTTCGGCGGCCCCGGCTCCTTCGGCTTCCCCGTCGCCGCTGGCTGCTCCGACGGACGACGTGTTCTGCGGTCCCGCCTGCGGCTTCTGAGCCCCCCCCCCCCCCCCCCTGAGGATCCTTGCGGGGGGGGGGGGGGGGGGGGGCACAACGGCGCGGCGGGGCGCGTGGGGCGCCTACCGCCTGCTGGGCGCGTAGGCGCCTTCAGCCAGGACCTGGCCGTCGCAGCGTTCATCGTCGACCTGGACTACGTCCACTTCTTCGCCCTCTGAGATCTGCCGCGCGCCACCCGCCCCGCGGCGGGGCGGCGGGCTCCCGCCCTGCGGATTGGAGTTGCATGTCGGCCTGACCCATCTGATCCCTCATCCTCAGTCCCCCTCCCCTCCATTTCCTTCCCTCCTCCTCCTCCTCCTCCTCGCTCCAACCTCCCCGCCTCCTCCTCCTCTACCTCCTCCTGCCTCCTCCTCCTCCTCCCCTCCTCCTCCTCGCGAGCGAGAGCAGAGAGCTCGCCGTAGTAACAGCAATATTAGTATTACTGATACTAGTATTCCTGTGATTTTTCGTAGTATTACCCAAATGCGTAGTATCAGTATTATTCGTACCATTAGTCTTAATAATGTTGTTTGTGCTGCTCTTCTAGTATTATAAGTAGTATCATTATGAGTCGCATTATTGCTGCCAGTATGAATAGTACTGCTCTTATTCGTAGTCTTGATAATTGTTGCTTGTGAATCGTACTTCTCTTCTTAATAATATGATTGGTATTAGTACTCGTATTGTTAGTAGTAGTCGTATGTCTCATTCGTATTCGTATTACTAGGTTCAGTCTTATTACTGGTGTTCGTTGTATGTTTCGTGCTGTTGTTCCTAGTATATGCGTTATTATGCTTAGCATGATTAGCAGTCTTCTTCTGGCTATGCTTAGTGCTTCTCTTATGTTTAATATTACCAACAGTCTTGTTTTTATTACTATTGACACCAAAATCAATAGTATTATTAGTGCCATCGCTAGTAGGAGTCATATTGATACTTTCCTTCTTCTTGGTAGTAGTACCAATGGTGTCAGCATAACTACTTTTATGGTTCTTCTCATTACTCCCCGTATAACTAGTATTCGCATTATTGTCTTAGTATTGCATGATCCCTATTGTGGTGAATTTTCTGATTATTCAGATTATAAGTAGTATGGTTATGCTTCTTCGTATTTCTCCTCCTCCTCCTCTTCCTCCTCCTCCTCATCCTCCTCCTTCTCGTCCTCCTCCCCCTCGTCCTCCTCCCCCTCCTCCTCCTCCTCCTCCTCCTCCTCGTCCTCCCCCTCCTCCCCCCACCTCCTCCTCCTCCTCCTCCTCCTCCTCCTCCTCCTCCTCCTCCTCCTCCTCCTCCTTTTCAGCGTTGTCTTACTCTTCGTATTCGTCTTCTTCGTATCCTGCGTCTTCGTAGTATGATCCTTCTTATTCGTAGTATTAGTCGTATGCGCATTCCTATGATTGCTCTTTAGTTGTATCGTTATCCCCTTTCGACTTCTCGATACCATTGTGGATATCACTTAGATTAGGATTAGTATTCCTCTGTGTGTTTTTCGTTCGTCGTAACACCCCTCTCCCTGCTAGTATGATGCGTAACAGTATTGTTCGTAGTATTCCTCTTCTTATTGGTATAGCCAGTCTAGTCTTAGTATGTTTTTATTATAGTACGATTCTTTGTTTTACTATTATTAGTGCCCATATTGAAACGATCTTCCATCTTACTGCAATTACTTTTATAGTCAGCACTAGTAGCCTTCGTAATAGTAGTAGCATGTGGTTGCTCATTGTTCTTGCTTTGACTATTATCAGTAGGTGGATCCCTCCTCCTCTATATCGTCCTCTTAGTAGTCGCCTTCTCCGTGTCATTAAAAGTACTATGGATATGTGTTCTTCTTCGTCCTCTTCAGATTGTTATCATTATTATACTTGTCCGTCTTCATAGTATTAGTCTTCTCACTCTTGTTCTCAGTATTGGTCTTTTTATTCGTCTGATTATTTTGCGTGTTCCTCCTCCTCCTGCTCATCCTCCTCCCCCTCCTCCTCCCCATCATCATCATCATCATCCACATCATCATCATCACCATCACCATCACCATCGTCAGAATCATCATCATCACCATCATCATCGACATCATCAGCATCGTCGTCGTCGCCGTCGTCGTCATCATCATCAGCATCAACATCATCCCCGCCATCATCATCATCATCATCCGCAGCAGCAACAGCATCATCATCAGCGTCATCATCAGAACTATCACCATCAGCATCAAGCATCATCATCACAATGAGCAGCATCATCATCAGCATCGTCCTAATCAGTATCACGATCATCATCATCATCATCAGCAGCATCATCATCATAATCATCATCATCATCCGCAGCTTCGTCGTAATCAGCATGCTCATCATCGGCATCCGCATCAGCACCATCATCAGCAGCATCTTCAGAGAACCATCAGAAAGCATTAGCATCATCATCAGCATCAGCATCATCATCGTTGTTCTTATCACCCGCGTCATCCGCAACATTGCCATCATCAGCCTCATCAGCATCACCATCAGCGGCACCATCATCATCATCATCATCATCATCAGCATCATCATCATCACCCGCATCTTGACCATCATCATCATCATCATCCCCACCATCACCATCAGCAGCACCACCATCAGCAGCAGTACCATCATCACCATCATCAGCATACTAAGCATCATCATCATCATCATCATCATCATCATCATCATCATCAGCATCGTCATTATCATCAGCAGCATCATCAGCAGCATCGTCACCAGCAGCATCATCATCAGCAGCATCATCGCCATCGTCACCACCAACGTCATTATCATTAGCATCATCATCAGCATCGTCATCATCATCATCATCATCAGCATCATCATCATCATGATCATCACCATCACCATAATCATCACAATCATCACAATCATCACAATCATCAACATCAGCATCATAAGCATCATCATCATCAGAATCGCAATCATTATCGTCATCAGCAAACTCATCGTCATCATCATCATCCGCATTGCCATCGTCATCCTCAGCATCATCATCATCAGCAGCCACATCATCATCAGCAGCACCATCATCATCATCATCATCATCAGCAGCAGCAGAAGCAGAAGCATCATCATCAGCAACAGCAGCAGTACCATCAGTAACATCAGCATCATCATCATCATCGTCAGAATCAGCATCATCAGCATCATCATTATCATAATCATCATCATCTGCATCAGCATCACCATTATCATCAGCACAATCAGCATCAGCATCAGCATCATCGCCATCGTGATCACCAACGTCATCATCATCATCAGCAGCATCGTCACCGGCATCGTTATCATCATAAGCACCATCATCATCAACAACAGCATCATCGCTAGCATCATCATCGTCGTCATCATCAACAACATCATCAGCATCACCACAAGCAACAACATCATCATCATCATCGTCATCATCATCAGCAGCATCCTCATCATTATCCGCATCCTCATCCTCATCCTCATCATCGTCTTCATCCTCATTATCGTCCGCATCCTCCTCCTGCAGATACACACACATTTTACGGAAACGGAAGACTGCCAGGTTCGCACGTTTTCCCCGTGACGTGTCTGGAGTGGGCTGCCCGCTTCAGGCTTTGATGTGATGTGTTTCATCCTGTTCGTCAAGCCTCGGGACTCGGCGTCGCCTCCTCCTCCTCATCATCATCATCAGTATTATCATCCTCGTCACCATCATCATCACCATCATCATCCGCATCATCATCACCGCAATCATCATCATCAGCAGCAGCAGCAGGAGCATCATAATCATCCTCATCCTCATCCTCATCAGCATCACCCTCACCTAACCATATGAACCCGCTAAGACCCCTACAGAGGCAAGCTCTGATTGGGGAACCATCATCCTCATCCTCATCCTCATGAGCATCACCATCATCATCGTAATCATCATGGCTCCTGATTCCTGGTGTCTGCAAGGCTCGGTGAACGTAGCCCTCCCCCCCAGGGCCGGTGGCCCTGGGCGGTGATCAAACCAGGGCCAGGTGACCCCTGGAGCACAGCCCCGATCGCCACTGGCAGTGTGATCGAGAACGACACTGAAAACGGAAGACGGACAGAGGAGGGGAGCACGAGGCAGCACGAGAGGGAGAAGGGGGGAGGCTGGGATGTGGCTGGCGTGAGGTGGCCGCAGGTGCAGCTCGCGGGGATGCGGGGGGGGGGGGGGCGGCGGCCGCCCTGCCCACCCGCGCAGATCGCACCGCAGGGCGGCGCGGGAGGCGCCGCCAGGGGCGCCCAGCGCCGACCCCGAGAAACCCGTGCGGACCTCCGACATCTGACGTGCACGAGGCTCGTTGGCCCATGGCCCTGGCCAGGAGCGGCTCAGGGAGGCAGACATTGGGAGGCATGCGCGCCGCTCAGAGAGTTTGTGAGTGGGTCATGCTCCACTGGGCACTTTCAAGTACCGGCTTACCAGGTCCTCGACTTCCCCCTGCATTCCATGATACAGCCCCACGTGTGCGACTAGACCTCGGCTTGAGGACATTCTGCTCAAGACGGAGAACATACACACGTTCTTGTTGGCGGGAGCACAGGCGGGGGATTCCTTGCGCGGCGAACAGGTGTCCCAACGCAGCGCTCGCCTTCACCTTCTGCCGGAGGCCTTTCACGCTCGGGAGCCCCGCAGCAACACCCGCTGCGGCGTGGCCGTGGCATCGGGGCCGACTATCTTGCTCGGGGCTCACAAGAGTATGGGGACCACAAGAAGAAGCAGCAGGGCGGGTTTTTGGGAGCGCGAGTTAGACACGGCTCAGTGGATACATGCTGCATTCCAGTACTGCGCTCCTTATCAACCCGCACATTGTCGCAAGAAGGAAAGAAGGAGAAGGACGACAACGACGACGACGGCGACGACGACGACACCGACGAGGCCCTCAGCCCTCGAAGCCGTCGCCGAGGCGAGAGAGCCCGGGGCAGTGGAGCTCGTCGACCGGCGCGGGCAACATCCTGAGCCTGGTCATCTGGACCCAGCTGAAATTCCACGCATCTGGGAGCCCCAGGTGCGGGTACTCCGCGAAGGCGCCCCAGCTGAAGGCCGGCTGCTGGTCGTGCGAGGGGCCGCTGATGGCCTGGCACTGCAGCTTGCGGAAGAGGCAGCTGTTGACGACCTGTCGTTAGGTCGGGCCTGTCCTCCTACAGACGGATTCTGGACGAAAAATCAACAATACTCAAACAATATTCAAAAATAGTCGAAACTAGTCGAAAAATCGTCCGCTGACTATCTTCTGACAATTTAAAATACTCCCCCTGTAGAGGGACAGGCGCGTTTTCAACGTATCGGGAGAGCAGGCCATAAAACCGCCCGAGGTCCGCGAGGACTTCTTTGGCCGGCGAGCCGGACCCCCGCCCCTGGCGCGCTGCGCACGCCAGGGGAGCTGCGCCGGGAGCGTCACCAGGACGCGCGGACCGCTGAAAGTTATGCATGTGCCAGTCTTCCTTCTCCTCCTCCTCCTCCTCCTCCTCCTCCTCCTCCTCCTCCTCCCCTCCTCCTCCTCCTCCTCCTCCTCCCTACTCTCTTCCTCCTCCTCCTCCTCCTCCCTCCCTCCTCCTCCTCGTTCTCCTCCTCCTCCACCCTCCGCCTCCTCCTCCTCCTCCCCTCCTCTCCGCCTCCTCCTCGTCGGTACGTGATTGGATTTAATTTTTAGTTATATCCCGCCTCGTGCGGTTTATAAGGTTGTTGTGATCCTCACTTCCTCCTCCTCCTCCTCCTCCTCCTCCTCCTCCTCCTCCTCCTCCTCCTCCTCCTCCTCCTCCTCCTCCTCCTCCTCCTCCTCCCCACCTCCTCCTCCTCCTCCTCCTCCTCCTCCTCCTCCTCCTCCTCCTCCTCCTCCTCCTCCTCCTCCTCCTCCTCCTCCTCCTCCTAGGCCTTCGCGTCGATGCCCCCGTTCGGGATCAGCATGCTGCCGTCAAGGTCCATGCGGGCGGACACGGCGTGCCCGGGCGAGGGGGGCTCCACGCGCTCGGAGGGGTCGTTGCGGTTCATGACGTGGCGCATGTCCATCAAGGTCTCGACGGACTGGCCCAGCCTTGAAAAAAAAGAGAGAGAACGATGCACACGCACACACTTTCACTTCGCGGCGGCTTGGTCCAATGAGCGCGCGCCGACGGGGGGGCAACCAGCAAGCGGCTGCGCGTGCAGAGAAAAGAGGTGCACGACACGAGAGCACATGCAGCGCCGCAGGGGGTCCGCGCAGGGGCAGCACGATGCGGCGGCGGAGGGCCGATGCACACACTCACACACACACACACACACACTTTCTGCGCCGGGGAAGGAGGAGGAGGAGGAGGTTTTGCGGACTGCACTGGCGGAGGGGCACACACACACACACTTTCTGCTGGCGAGCGCGACCTCGCGCAGCGGCGAGGCGGAGCAGGTCGGGCAGAGCGGCACGGAGCTCGCGCGCGCGGCCGGGCCCCCAGATGCGGGACCCCATCGGATCAACCGCCCACGGGCCGCCCGGCCGTGGGTGGCCAGTGAGGCACTGGTGACATCGTCCGCAGACGGAGACGGGCACACACTTTTGGTCTGCGGGTCGAGAGCGAACCTCTTCCGCTAAAAGCTAGGCGGGCTACGCACAGCTTTAATTAGGGAGACAGGGCACAGGAGGGCGGGGCCTCAGGCGGCCAGAGTGGGCGGGGCCCGGGGTGCAGGCGGTGCCAAAAAGCTTGCACAGGAAAAGGTACGCCGCGGACAGGGACCGGAGGCGAAGATCCGGAGGGGGCGCACAGACGCACACTAATAATTCTGGCCAGGTCCACCCTGAGCCCAGGATCGGAGCATACGCCCTCGTGGCGTGGCCAGGGCGCAATGTACACCGATCCTGGGCCCAGGATTGGCCGGGCCAGGATCGATGCATGTGCAAAGTTCTCGTCGCCCTAAGCCTGTGGAAGATCTCCGCCCGGGGCCCGTGATCGAAGGAGTAGAGAGCGCCGTACTCCTTCTCAGCGGCCGCGTGACCCGAAATCTCCCTTACCTTGCTGAAGAAGGGGCGGTTGACGGACGCGAAGTAGCCGTGCAGCTCAAGCTCTTCGGAGAGGTCGCAGTGCATGGTAAGCCCGGGCACAACCTTCGGCGACTCCGAAGGGTGTGGTTTGCAAAGGATGGGGCTTGCAACCGGAACCCAAGGTGGCACCCTAGGGGGTGGGCGAGGACCTCGACGGAGCTCTCCGCCGAGCCCCAAGGAGGGCCCGACGAGGACAGTGTAGTGCTCCCCAGGCCCCAACAGTGCTGATCGCAAACCACACCCCAGCGTAACCATACATGTTCTAGTCGCCGAAACCTCGGCCAGCCTGACCGTGTTGGACCGAAGGCGCTCGCCAGGGGCGAACCTGCTGTAGTCCACCACAAGCCACTGGGCGCTGCTGGCCTTGCCGCTTCTCTCGGTGAGCAGGGACGTCCAATGACTCGCCGTGCTGGCCAGCCGGTTCACCGCCGAGATATGGACGAAGTAGGGGATCGCCGTCGGGGCACCGAATTCCAGAATCCGCCACCGTCGGCTACACGCAAGAGTGACCCTAGACAAGAGTGACCTGTGGCGCGCGGATTAAAGGGGGAGCGAGGTGGCCAAATCCAGGCGCGCAAGCGGCCGCTATCGCATCGCGCTCAGCGATCGGGGGGATCCCGATGAGCCCACACCCAAGGTCACTCTGGCGAAGGGTCACTCCTACGTGTCGTTGACACCGTGCCTGCGAGGTACGAGTTTCGGTGTCATCAGGTCCCTTGCTCAGTCCCATGAGCTCCAGTCCTCAATCCTGGGGATCTTTTAGAAAGGGCCTGGGCCCCGAGCGTTTCAAAGAATCTCCAGGGGCGCCCCAGGCGCGCCCGAGGCGCCTTCCCGCACGACGCCTTCAAGCCGAGGAGGGCCCGGAGACGGGCCTCGAGGCCGCGGACCTGCAACCAGGGCACGGTGGCGGCATGGGCCGAAGGCCACTGCGATACGATCGTACGCCGCCTCGTCCAGGATCTCGATGCTCGTGTCCGCGACGGCCAGCCCGCTGTCCATCATGAGGAGTCGGGGGCCCCGAGACCGTGTGGCGGCGGACCGCCCAGGGACTTCTGCTACTCGCATCGCACCGAAGGACCACACCACAAGAATAATCCCGAGCATCCAGAAAAGTATCGAAACAGTGGCGAACGAGTGTCGCCTCCCAGGGCCCGACACGTGAAAACACTTCGGTTTCGGTACTTCCTTGGTGCTCGAAATTATTTCTGGTGGTCAGGGCTAAAGTAGGTTGGAACATCATAGTTAACCAAGGACCTCGGAGCCCCCAGAGGCCCCACCGCGCGGCCGGTCACCGCACGGCCGTGGGACCTCGGAGGCCCCGGCCGCCCGAGACGTGCTCGCGGAGAGCGACCCCGAGTCCCAGAGCCGTGCGGCAAGGCCGAGTCCCCTCTGAAACTCGCCACGCCGGCGCTACTTCGAATGTGTGGCTTCTCCTCCTCCTCCTCCTCCTCTCCTCCTCCTCCCTCCTCCTCCTCGTCGTCCTCCTCTCCTCCTCCTCCTCCACCCCTCCTCCTCCTCCTCCTCCTCCTCCTGCTCCTCCTCCTCCTCCTCCTTCTCCTCCTCCTCCTCCTCCTCCTCCTCCTCCTCCCCCTCCTCCTCCCCCTCCTCCTCCTCCCACTCGGGTCTCTGGCGGCCGCTCGGGACGATCCGGGCACCCCCCGAGGGCTCTCGGCGAGGCGCAGCTGCCGGTGTGCGTCCTGAGGCGCGAAAGCCCTCGGGGACGTCCAAAAACCCCGTTTGCCATCGCGCGGCGAAATCGAATCCTCACTGGCTCATCACGCGGTGTGGTCACCACACCGCTTGGGGGACCCCGAGAAAAAGTTGTCGCCGCTGCTGATGCACCCGGGGTAGGAGCTCAGGGCAACGAGCGACGCGGCAGCGCCCGAGCCCGGCAGCCTGAGGTGGTAGTACTTGAAGATGCGGGTCATCGTGCTGTAGTCGTTCCAGGTGGTGTGGCCGAACAGCAGGTCCTTTCGAGGCCTCCCTGGAAGTCCCCAGGAAGTCCCGGGGGAGGCTTCGGAGGTCCCCCGGGGGCTCTGAAGGCCCTGGAAGCCCCCGGAGGCCCCTGGGGGCCCAAAGCAGGGCCGAGAGCATGGGAAGCTAACGCAGTGTGATGCAATTCGCAAGCTCGCAACTGCTCGAGACAATGCACAGCAAATCACAAGTGATTCACTGCGATACCTGTCTGACGATGTACTTACTTTAGACATCGGGCGCAAGCAAATACCAGTATGCGAAGGTGCTCAGACCCACGAGGGTGCGCAGGCTGCCCGAACGTGTCCAAGCGGGAAGCCTTCGGGCGCCGGCCTACTGCCCCCTGCTACTTCTGGGGCACTGTCCTCCTCCTCCTCCTCCTCCTCCTCCTCCTCCTCCTCCTCCTCCGCCTCCTCCTCCTCCTCCTCCTCCTCCTCCTCCTCCTCCTCCTCCTCCTCCTCCCCCTGTCCGTGTCGCACCCCGACGCAAGTCTTTAGGGCGGGCCTGGCGTTTCGCATGAGACTTCCTCACCATTTACGACTCTGAAGAGGAAAAGTTGGCAACAGCTTCACAGATGGAGGGCGGGTCGTCTTTATATATGGCTTTCGCCTTGGCGGCGCGCACATTCTTCGAAGATAATTGCAAGAACGTCACGGATTGAGGCCGGTTCCTTTTCAAAATGCGGCTCTCGCGTTAGCGCCGCGCACATTCGTTTTAACAATTTGCAAGCGCTTCACGGAGTGAGGGTGGTTCCTTTTCAAAATGTGGCTGGCGCCTTAGCGCCGCACACATTCGCTATTACAATTTGCACAAGAGTTTCGTGTTTCCCCAGGATCAAAGTACCAGGAATGCCATTTTCGAAAGATGCGGGATTATGAGGGTGCAACAGTAACGTTGATTCGCGGTGTTAAAATCGCAGGAATGGCGTTCTGGCGCGATTCAGGATCGTCAAGACGCAGCAGTCAGGGTGATGATCCGTGGCGCGCGAATCCCGAGAACACTGCTTTGACATGCTTCAGGGACTTCAAACGGTGTTTTCCAACGAGGCAGTTCCCTCAAAAGAAATGAACCGTTGCAGGCGCCTTGTGAAGAGGGAGCTTGGAGGGAGGGTTTATTCCCACATCGTTGATGACTATTGGGTTTACACTGGTCCTCCTCCTCCTCCTCCGCCTCCTCCTCCCCCTCCTCCTCCCGCTCCTCCTCCTCCTCCTCCTCCTCCTCCCCCGCCTCCTCCTCTTCCCGCTCCCGCACGTCCTTGGCCTGGGGCGCCAGGCGCACCAGCGCCGAGCAGTGCCCCGTGCGGGCCAGCCGCCGCTCCCAGCCGCGCTCGGAGAGCCCACCCGAGGAGAGGCCTCCGGAGGCCTCCCAGAAGGGCTCGGGGCCGATGGGGGCGGAGGGCCGAGCCGCATCGCCGAGGAGGAGGAGGCGGAGGAGGGGAGGGAGGGAGGGGGGGGGGAGGAGGAGGAGGAGGAGGAGGAGGAGGAGGAGGAG